TAATATTAACCATAATTCTAATATTATACTAACACTAATATTTTACCATGTTGTAGAAATATAAATTAATGTTGGATGATTAATTGAGTGATATAAATAAGTAGGATGTCACATAGATATGTCAAATATCGCATGCAGATTGCGTCAAATACCGAAAAAAAAAATGAAGGTTTACTTTTGTAAATTACATAAATGTGAGTTGTTGTGTGTCGGGATGACATCCTGAAAATTCAAAACACGTATTATACACGAAAAAAAATAACCTTATAATAATTCCTAGGTTTTGACCACACGGGTGCAAAAATTATTGGTCCAATCTAGGACTATGAGCATTAATAAAATGAATTAGTACCTCAATTTATATAATAATCGCGGGTAAGGTAAAAAGCCACTACAAAAGCGTGTAACATAAGTAAGTTAATTAGTTAACTAATAGAAAGTGTTAGTAATTGGTACATAAATCGCTATTAGAGTATAGTATTATCATTTCTTACATAAAACGTCATTAGCATGTGTATTAGAAGCCAAAAATAGACAGAACATGTTTGAATTGCCGATTTCGAGATTCGTGACTTAGGACATACTCGTGTTTTGTTTGCTCCTCAACCAATTTGTCAATTGGATAATATAAAGTACAAACAATTTTAAATCATCCATTTTTTTATTTTTTATATTTGTTTAAGTATTCTTGTTGTTTAAATATAATTAATCACGTAAATAAAATTTATGTTTGGAAATTAGACATAATTCTTTCAATAGACGAACGTTGTTATTATATGTCACGGTGGTAAACGAGTTGGGCCGCGTTTTTCTGACGAGACGAGCTCGAGCGTTTTCTTAGTTATTTATCAACTCACGAGCTAGCTCGCAAAGTTTTTTTTTTAGGTTTTTATAATTATTTTTTATTTAAATAATCTATAATATAAAATATGTACAATAATATTAAAAGAACACATATAAAGTAAAGAAAAACATATAATTAGAGTACATTGTTTGTTTTGTAATTCTTTTATTATACATAAATAATTTTTAATAATAGAATAATAATTATAATTATAAAAAAATAAAATTCAAAATGAGATTTAGCTCGAGCTCGAGCTCGTCAAATCGATCTGCTCGAACTCGATAAAATTGACATCTAATTCCCAAAATTTGGTTGTAAAATAAAATGAAAAACATAATAAAATATAAAATCAATATGCATGGTGAAATTAAATTCTGGTCTACATGCAATCTAATATAATGAAGATATATTGATGAACTAACGGTGTTTCCCTAAGATGCCACGTGGCAGTCAAATGCGGGCGGGGCCATGCTGTCTGTCCTGTCATTGCTTCCTCTTCACACCACACGACCCTGGACAGCAACCGGACGGCGCGGCGATTGCGCCGTTACGCACTGTTGCTGATTTCTTCTTCCCCTTCTCTCATAACTTTGCCTAGTTTTTTTTTTTTTTAATTTAATTATTTTCAAGCATTTCTCGAAAAAATTAAAATAGTCAAATAAAATTAATTTATTTTTCTTTTCACAGTATAGACAAAAAGGGTTATATATTACTCATGGAGAGTGTAAATGAATAATTAAGTTAAAATTAAAAGTAGGGCTGGGACTGGGTTGGGTCGGTCGATTACCAGTCTAAAAATCGACCCATCCGTCGAACTATTCTTGCTCAAATTTGAAAACCGTCGTCGACCCAACCTTCGTGGGTCGGTTGATGGTTGTCAACCGAATATTTGGTTCCGGAATGGGTCGGTTGATGGTTCATATCCACACCCTAGTTCAGTTAAAAAAAAATCAAATTTTAGAGTAAAAATATCCACATTTTGCGTAATGCCACGGTGCGATCATCAGTTATCTGTTCAAAATAATTAATAACAATTTAACGAAAAAATATAATCAGGAAATTCAAAGTAATTTCAAACATGCACAAGAGATTTAGTGGAGTTTTGTGGACTTTTTGTTTAAGCTTGTGCATAAAGAAACTGGTGGAAGATTTATGTCATTTTTTTTTCCTTTGTTGATTGTTTTTAAAATTTAAAATACTAATTATTTTGATAATTTCAATAACCACTTAAAAATACACGACCTTTATTTTATATTTTTAATAAAATTTTAATAATATAGTTGGATGACCGATAATTATCGGTCAACCAACTTTTGATAATATAAGAAACCACCAACCGACCTATTATAGATGGGTTGGTTGAAATTTTCGACCCAATCCAATGGATCGGTAAAAAATTGATTATCCACCTTCAAATATGGTCGGTAATGGATCGGTTGGTGGATAAAAACCAACCCAGTCCCAGCCCTAAGTACTTACTTTACAAAATTAGTTAAAAATGTTCTTGTTCAATTGCTTTTATTAAAATAAATAAATATATATTTTACTAATTAACTAATTAATTATTCCACAAGGAGTTAACCGAATCTAATATAATCCAAATTAATTATATGTTTCATTTAATAATAAATATATAAATAAAACATTGATGTGGTTAAATACTAGATAGCTAGCTAGAACTTTATTTGATAGGATACCCAATTGAGCTTTGTTGGGCCAATACCCAATTATACAGAAGTATATAATATTATTTGTTGGCCCAATATGTATATGAAATTTGAAATAATAAAAATATTATTAATATTATAAAATATTTCCCGAATATTAAATCAAGAAAGTAGTAGATACGGACAAAACGGTGAGTAGATGCTGAGGTAATCAATGTTCCCCTTCAGTTACGAGTGGCGTCACCCGATCCGACGTGTCACATTAAACTGGCTTAAACAAATATCCAACTCTTTGAACACCGAACTCTTCAGCTTTGACTCAAAATCTATTGACTTTCCATTTAATTTTGACTTTATAAAATTGAAAAAATAAAAATCCATTCTACGTTTTATATTTTTCATTACACTTCTAACTCAAATTATAATATTATATATACACATTTCTTTTTTTATTTTATAGTAATTCATAATTAAAAAAAAAATAACCCTTACGATTTACGATCCGTTACAATTCACGATTTTCAATTTGATTTGCAACAACATTCGCATAAGTATATCAACTCTGACGACCCATACATACAATATAGTCGGACGATAATAAATTCTCAAAATATTTGAAAATTGTGAGCATATATTTTAAGAGTAATTGCAAGAATACGATTACGTAAATCCAACTTTTTTCCGATACACGAGGAAATCATTTTGTCGTTTTCAAATACAATTACAAAAAATGATACTAGTAATTAAAACCTAAATGTGACAGTATTTATAACTGTTAGAAATGCAAATATTAAGTGACAATATTTAAAATTGTTAGTAATGCACATATTAAGTGACAATATAGACCAATTATTACAATTTACAAGTATCGTGATTTTGAATGTTCATTTAAATTGTCTTATATAATGCTACAATTTATTGAGATTCTAACATATAATATAGTGAATGGCTGAATTCATATATATTAACAAATTAAATCATGTTTACTAGCTAGATAATAATATTCTCCCTATAAATTATGAATTTATGTAATTACATAGTTTCACAACTTTAATTCAAAAAACACATGCGCTAAATTTGCTATGGACTATATTCCAAATTAATCCTATAAATAAAAAATTAACAAATAAAGATTTGTAATATTACCTTAGCATGGCTCAAATTAAACTTCTAATTAACAGTATTAGTTAGCTGCTTAATCTATTCACTATTGCTCATATATTCCTATTTTCAAGCTCCATGTTTGTTTAATTAGTTGGTAATCTCGAAAGTTTTCTCAACTCGAAAATGGATATAAAAAGTTGTTAACGATTACGACAACCTGTATATATAATTACTCGACCTTAATTAGTCGATTTAGTTATACTAATTTTAGTATATTTAGTAAATCTTAATTAACCTAGTTAGCCAAGTAAAGTTTTTATTTATATATAAATAATTTTTGTTATATATATTTTCATAAAAACATATATAAAATAAGTTTTTCATCACCTATCAGTTTGCAATTGATCATTAAACCATGTAAACATATAATTAATTAGTGAATCAACAAAAATATTTGAAATTTGCTATTTAACAAAGATACTTCTAACTTTTTTGAATTATGAAATGACTTGTAATCCGACAAGTGTCCTTGAGCGTCGGATACGAAACGTGTCCGAAACACGGAAACATTACGAAGTTGATCAAATTTCCGTGCTAATACATACCCTACGATAGATCATATTAATTAATTAATCATGCAATATAAATATTATAAGATAATTTGTAATAAAACATGGTTCTCATGGCCATTATATATTTCCCAATTTCAGCACCAAAAGCTACACAGAAAGTGAAAAAGCTAAGGGCTTTTTAATTTGTATTTATCTTGCTTGCTATCTGTGTGCAGTAAGGCCAAAAATTATGTATACACACACACAGACACACTGTATATATATATTGTATGTAGAGGTGATGGAATAATATACTGTTGAAAAGTGATTTATATTATATATATATTAAGAAAAAAAAAAAACATGAATTTTGTTAAGGCAAAATTCACGAGATATATAAAAAAAGCAGGTGGCTTATCGCATGTTTGCTTCACGCAAGCAGCTAATGGGGGGTTTGCTTCATCGCGTGGCTTCAAAGTTTTCATTTTATCTTTATTTATTTAAATAATTAAATTAATTAAAGAAAAAAAAAACCCAATTTAATACCCGCACCCCCCAACACCACCACCCCCCAAAAGAAAGAACAAATACCACCAAACCCTAAAGCCAGAAAATATATATTTTATTTCAAAAGATCAATTACTTTTTTATTTTTGTAATCATCAATTAATCCCTTCTTTTCTCTCTCTCTCTCTAATCTTTTCTCCTTTAGTTTCTCTCTCTACAGTTCAGATCCTTTAGAAGAAGAAGAAACCCTCATTACGTGATCATGTGTATACAGTCCCCTTTTACTTAGCTAGAACAAAATCAAAGATTAGGTTTCTGAAGATTAAAATGATGAGTGCTGCCAACGTGGCAAGCAGTAGCGCGGGCGGTGGAGGGGGGAGCGGCGGCGGGAGCGGGGGTGGAGGAGGAGGCGGCGGGGGCGGCGGGCCGTGCGGGGCATGCAAGTTCTTGAGGAGAAAGTGCGTGGCGGGGTGCATATTCGCGCCGTACTTTGATTCGGAGCAGGGGGCCGCGCATTTTGCGGCGGTGCACAAGGTGTTCGGAGCAAGCCACGTGTCGAAGCTGCTCCTCCACATACCGCCGCACAAGCGGCTGGATGCGGTGGTCACCATTTGCTACGAGGCTCAGGCGCGCCTCAGGGACCCCATTTACGGCTGCGTTGCTCACATCTTTGCCCTTCAACAACAGGTATATTATATTTAATAATTAAACTTAATTTTTTGTTTAATTAGTACTAATTAAGTGAATTAAGACATATATATATATATGGATAGCTTTATTCATGGTTGATATTCCTTAAAAGATCTGTCTTATCATCAGAGTTGGTGAACTAAAGACAACCCTTCTTCATGTAATTTTTTCCTCCTTAATTTCTTACAACACACATATACATACACATTTATATTATGTATCTATATATAGATATACACTCTTTATCTCTTCTCAAGATCGAGTGTTTAATTTAAATCAAAATTGCAAGTAAAAATGTCACTTAATTTGCAGATAGATACTGCTTTTCCAATCAGAATAATTTGTATGTAATTAATTAACCAATTATTAATTAACAAATTGGAAATTAAACTCCAACAAATAATTATAAATTGGGATTTGATCTTATAACTTTCCGGGTTGAATTTTTGGGATATTGAGTACTAAGTAAGGTTTTTGAGCTGGAATAAGCAAAAGGGGTTATAAACATTTTTTGGCTTTAATTAGTCTAATTAATTAATTAAATTTTTATTTGTTTATTTAAAATATAAAAAAAAGGTATTGGAGTGGAGCATGATGTGTTATATTGGGGGAACAGTCAACAGTTACATTGTTTGCTGAAATCAAGAAACCTGATTCTGACTGATTAACTTATGATGATGTGTGTGAGGAAAATTTTATTTAGTACTATACTGTACATGCTTCTCTGCTCCCCCTTTGCTTTCATTTATTTCATATATTTCTTGCAATAAATAATTTTTTATTTTTATATATATAATCATTTTCAGAAATTGTTGCTGTTATTGTGGTATTGGTTGGTCATTTTTGTGTAACG